AGAGGAATCGTAGAGTAGTACTGTCTCGCCAACTTGCAGAGGTTCGAGTCTTACTCTAGGTAGCTTGTCCCATCTTTCTTTATCCTTTCCCCTGCTGTCCGCAACGTTCATGGCCGCTTCCTGCACCCTTTCTTCYGTKGCGCTGATCTGCCTTGCCCTTAGATCTAGCAGYTCYTCCAAAGTCAAGTTATTTTCCAGGTCCTGYCTGCACCATGTTTTCAGRAAGYTYTCAATAGGAAATGTGGCGTGACGYCCATACCAGAGTGTCGCAGGTGCATACCCAGTCGTTCTCTTTACAGTGATGTTCTCCACAAAGAACACTGTTCTTAAGAACTTTGGCCAGAGATTCGGCTTCCCACTGGTCCATTTGGCCAACAAGTTAGTAATTGTGCTATGGCCTCTCTCGACTGGAGCATTTGCCTGTGGATGAGCCTAGTCGTATAGTTACCATTGACCCCCAATTCCTTCAGCAGTTCCTTCACTTCCCCGCACGTGAACTTAGACCCTCTATCCATCGCGAACTCCAATACGAACGGATATCTGAGATAATTTTCTTTAATACAATCCGCCAGAGTTGCCCCGGTCTTGTTCCTGATCGCTCTGCCATCAATGAATCATGTAAGGTTGTCCCTTGCGTCGAATATATAGTTATATCCTCCAAGACCTAGTGGCATAGCCAGTAGGTCCAGATGAACAACCGCCCCTACTTCCTTGATATATCTAGGATGCAGGGGTTCCTTGTACCTGATAGGCGATCGAATTTGACAGGGTACACACGACTCACAGTATTTTCGCGTTATCTCAAACATCCCTTCCCAGTAGTAGAGCTCCATCGCCTTTGTGTAAGTAGCCGCGAAACTCTGATGTCCCCCGACTATCCCATCGTGCAATGCAACTACTACGTCAATCTGACGATTCCTCCCACATACGACACGTCACGGCGGCCCCCTCTTATCCCTTATAAACAAGTGACCACCCCTTACCACATAGTGGTCTCTCATCCTGAGAGTCTTTTCACTTCTCTCTCTCTTTTATCTTCTGAGAGGAGCAACCCCATTTCCAGGTAAAATCCGTCGTACTCTTCCTCCCTGAATTCTTGTGAAATCTCTACTTGTTCGAATTCTCCTCCCTTCTCTTCATCAGATTCATAATCATCACCAATAATGATTTCATCAGCCTTCACTATTCTCTCATCATTCGCTTGAATCTGTAATAGTGAATTGGTTAGGTAGTACATTCTCCTCATCATGGCTACCTGCTCGCCTGCCTGTTGGACTCTTGCTTCGATCGTTCGCGGTTCATCCATTATCCTATAGTTTTCTGCCAGAGCCAACTCCATCATCCATTCCGTGTTTCTCTCGCCCCAAGAGTCCTCCTCTTCTAATGATGTGAGTATTAGGGAAGGTTCTCTCATAAATTCGGGAGGCGGATGTCACATCGGATTTCCTCTCCTCATTCCTTTACTCTCAACAAACATGAACCAACAGTTCATGTGAGTTCGCATGTCTTCCCCTTCGTCCAAAAATCCGTCTATTGGAGGTGTTTCTTCATTAGATTCCCCTTGATTTCCCCACTCAATTCTGCTCATGCCGTCTGCCCTGTTCTTGTTCCCAGGGATCCGCTCCAGCTGAAAGTCGAACATCCAGATATAGGTGAGCCATCTGGCTATGGTCGAATCTGAGGGCGAGAAGTTTTTGAGTGAGTATACAAGCGCCGTAGGATCAATCCTGAGCACAAACCTTCTCCTAAAGAGGTAGTGCCTAAAGATCCTTAGGCAGTGTAGGACCGACAAAGCTTCCTTTTTAAACTGCGAGTTGTTCCTTTCTGCCGAGTTTAGTGTCCTGCTTTCAAACCTCAACGGCCTCTCCTTTCCTTCACTGTCTGCCCGAATCAAGACGCCTCCCAAGGCGGTTGGTCCAGCGTCAGTTTCAACTATGAAGGGCCTTTCCATAGTCGCATCAAAGTCTGGTACCCCTAGTACCAAATTTCCTTCCTTGAACTCGTTCTTCAATTCTTTCACCACTTCCTCCTAATGGTTTCCCCATTCCCATTCCTGATCCTTCCGGACTAGCTTCCTTAGATGCTCTGTTTTGCTAGCAAATATTTCTATGAATCTCCTCTTGAACCCACAAGTACCAAGGAAACTTCGGACTTCACTCACATTTCTGAAAGGAGTAGGCCATTCCAGGATTTTATTGGTCTTCTTCTTATGAGGGCGCCGGCCATGCTCGTTGCAAATGTATCCTAGAATGGTTAATTCTTTCACGCAGTGTCTTGACTTTACACCACTGGCGGTAAGGTTGTACTCTTTTAGTAGAGATAAGACTTCTCTTAACCCTTGAACATGTTCTCATACAAACTTTCTCACCCCTGGAGCCACTTCGGACTCATTTTTCTCTATCGGGTCCTTGACAGCAAGATCGTCTATGTATGACTCCGTGATCTGAGGGCTGATCGACTGTATTACCCTGATCATGCTTCGTTGCACCATTGCCACAACATTGGTCCATCCTTGCGGCGCAACATTCATATGGACTAATCCCCTTGGCGTATGCATCGCCGTGATGGGACGGTCTGCCGGATAGACCGGAAACTGATCATATCCAGAGTAGAGGTCGATGAGGGACACAATCGACCTACCTGCACAAGCTTCTGATAACTGGTCAGCATTGGGCAAACCTCCTGCATCCCTTACAGTTACCGTGTTCAGTCGTTGGAGGTCTTGCACCCATCTGAGAACTCCATTTGGCTTTACAAAACAGAACCAGGGAGAGGCATATGGTCCACTGGAGTACCCTGCCACATCCGTGCGAATCTTCTCATCTAGGTACTCTAACACCCTTCTGCGATCCTCAGGGTTGGGATACTTAGCTCCTCGGACGTTCCATGACTCATGAGGTAAAGTATGAATACGGATCATTTCTATCTTGTCCACATCCAGCCTCCCACGTTGATCATCATTGAAGGCATAAGCCCCATGTTTTTCACGTATCAGTTCTTTTACCAAGTCCTCCTCTTGTCTTGTCAGAAAGCCCGGTTCCCCTATTATAAGTTATTTATCAGTCTCATCGTCGATACGACAAGGCCAGTTCTGGATGTCTTCCCTCATTCGATATATCAGTTATCTTTCCTGATCATAATACACCCCTTCTTCTTGACTTACTAGAACTAGCACAGGGTGACTCTTTTTATCTACCGTCTTGTACCTTCTTTTGGAGCCCTGCTTGAGCCCACCCCTAAAAAATGCTGACCGACAGCTTGAGCATTTGGCGCATGCGGCACTATTATCTGAGTAGGAGGAGGTGGCCGGTAAACGAGATCGACCCTTGCTCCTTCCGGATCGTCCTGGATTCTTTCAACAAGTGCTCTAATGGCATCCGCGTCAACCATCCTATAGGCCGATACCAGTTCTACTGCATCACTGATATTCGCTAGACTCAATACAAACCCTTTGGCTTCTTCATCATCTGACTCCTCTTCTTCTCCTTCCCACTCTAGTTCTCTCCTCCTATTCTCCGACTCCTCGAATGTGTAGGATCTAGCATTGAGTTTGTTTTTTGAGCTGTGAGGCTCCGTGTTCCTACAGGTGATCACCTCAAAGTTACCACAGGCAGGATCGCACAAGATTACGAACATAGTGCCGTCATGCTTGTTCATAATGAGTGATTCAGATCTGCACAGGAATGACCTTCCCAGCAATATTGGAAGGTCCAATCTGGGCATGACGTAGAAGCACGTACGTATTTTGACTCTTCCTATTTCTATGACCACATTTGACGCGACACCGGTGTATCCGGTCTTGCCGTTGGCTCCGTTGAGGAACCCGCAATTA